ACCCGCAACCACCCGAGCTCAGGGGCATCGGGAGCTCTAGCGTACGACAACGCCCAGCTGCCGGCCCAGCTTGCCGACTCCGCCCAGCGCGTTGCTAGGGACGCGCTCCCGCCGTTGTCGGGGCCCGGCGCGGCGGGTGGGCGGATTCTCGCGAGGATCCTCGAGACTTCGCGCGGCACCTCGGCGGTTGTCTGGAGACGTCTCAGCCTTAGGCGGGCCGGCGAACTTGTCTGCCGGTCGCGGCGGGGCGGCACGGCCGCAGCCATGGTGAGGAGGGCTGGGGGTCTCGTAGGGTCCGCGCCGGAGGGCTCTGCGCGCAGACGGAGAGGCCTGAGCTCGGCGATCTCATGCGCGCAGAGAGTGTGGCACGCGAAGCTTGGGCCCCCGGGACAGGGAGGCCTGCGCTCAGGGGTCCTGGAGTTGAGGACTTGGTGCTCTCGTGGGGCGTGTCCAGGGTGCTGCGGATCCTGGTCCCCGCGCGCACCTGGCGCTGAACTGAGACACCCCGGTTCTCCAGGACCCTGTGCTCACAGAGCTGGTCGGAGAACTCCCGTTCCACACACCCCCACCCCCGCCCCGGCCCGACCCAGGGCCGTGTGCGCGGTGTCCTGGAGAGAACCCGGGTCAAGGGGATTTCCTACCTGGAATGGAAGGCTCAGTTGGTCAAATCCTTGGGACCTTGTGTCTCACCTCTCAGGGGCCTGGGACACAGGATTCCCATGAGGACAGTCGGGTGCAGGGGATACCCTAGGACCTCCACTCTCTGGGAGCAGAGCCTGGGGTATACCGGGGTGGTTAGAGGACCCTCTGCACCAGAGGGTCCTAACAGCGAGTACAGTGCCCATGGAGTGCCTAGGGCAGAGCTTCAGGGTACAGGGACGGCTGTTTCCTTGGAGAGGCCGGGAGAATTCAGGCTGGTAGAGCAAAGTGGGAGCTTGCTGCCTCTCCAGTCCTCCATCGCTGTCCCTCCCTGAGCAGTAGGGCCCTTGACTGCACCACCCCCTGCCCTGCCACCTACCGCCCCCGTCATGATATTGGGGTTGTTGGCAACTCAGTTTCCAGGCAGGTGCCGCAGGGTGGGCATCGGCTGCTGGGGAGGACACTTCCTCCAGGCCCTGCAGCCTTCTGTGAACGTCCCAGGTGCTGAATGGTGACAAACCATTGAGATCTTCTGATGGGGTGAACTTCTTGTAATAAAGCGGTTAGAAAGAGGGCAGTATATGAGGAGTGAAGATTTGAGCATGTGGGTGTTTTGAAAATCAACTGGAAAAAGACCAAAATACATCTCCTGTCACTAGCTTGAGGGAATATGGGTCATTTTCCCATTTTTCTTTTTGTTTCTTTACATTTTCTAAGATTTCCACGTAAACTTTTTTTAAGTAACAAAATGTCACAGAGACGTGTAGACCGAGCAGCATGGGTCACAGTGTCTCGGGACAGGTGAGGGCAGGAGGGCAGAAGAGAGTCAGTATCTGCTGGCGTGGCCCCGGGAAGGGAGTGGGGAGGGGAGCTGGCCTCTCCTACTCTGTCACAGTTGCTAAAGGCAAGGCAGCACGACGAGCAGCTCTGCGTGGTGGCTCACCAGCAGCCCACACTGCCTGCCGCCTGCTCCGGCTCTCCTGGCCAGGGCTCTCTGAAGCAGTTTTGTGTTTCGATTATTGCTGGGGGCATTTCTCCCTATACTTACAGAACTGTTTACGGCAGTTTCTCTATGGTAGTTGCCAGGATTATAGTCAATGTGGCAATGTTGGACAGTGTGCGCTGGGGGGGAGGTCTTTGTGAGTAAATTTCACATCCGCACCAAGGAGGTCTGTGTCACACCAAGGAGTGGCTTTGGGACAAGTTTCCCTCCCTTTCTGAGGGAAAACCATATTCTCTTCTGAAAAGGAAGCTTTCTTGCTGCTCAAGAGATGTCAACAGAATGTGCATGTGGTTAAGGGTGGGAAACCTTAGGGCAGCGTGATGTGGTCCCGATGGGGGCATGAGTGAGTGGGCAGTAGATAGAGGCTCCAGAACAGGAATTCCTCTCCCAAACGGCCCTGGGAGGGAATCAGAGCCAGCCAGAGGACAAAGTCATTCATCAGAGCCTCCCTTCCTCACCCAACCATCTCTTCTTTAACCACAGGCGCCGAAAAAGAAAGGGAAGAAAGGGAAAGCCAAAGGCACCCCGGTCGTCGACGGGCTTGCTCCGGAGGACATGAGCAGGGAGCAGGTGAGCAGGCCGGCCTGAGCCTGGGCCCAGCGCTGGGTCGGGGTGGGAGGGAACCTCTTTCAGACCACTGCCTGCTACCTCCTCGTCCACCTCCCCTTAGCGTGGCTCCCGCAGGTCTGCCCACACCAGGATCTGCCTCCCCCAGGGCTCGCAAGTGCAGTAAGTGTTATAAAAAATGCAGTACAGCCACGTGGGTGAACTTTTTTTATAGGGTAGTAGGAGTTTGCAAGGAAATGGTTTTCTGATATAAAAGCTATTTTAAATTTCCTGTGTTTCCTTTCATCCTTAACTTCTCAGGCACCTGATGCTTACAGAGCTGTTGTCATCGTACGTGCATTTATAGCGTTCTTGTTTACTTGATTTGCCATGAAACATTACCAATTATTTTAAGCCACTTGTTCACTTTGATGAATTTAAGGGCTAGAGAACATGACTGTATAATTACAATTTCAATTAAGAGGCTCCTGGAAACTGTAACATGCGCAAACTCTGAGAGCAAGTGTGGTCCGCGAGTGTCTGACGTGCACTCTGGTGTTAGTGTAAACGACCCTTACTTTGTTTTGATAGTTTTAAGATGAAGAAATAAATCAGAGGAGACTGAACGAGTCGCATCAGCTGAAGTTGGAGAGCTGGCAGAGCCCCGAGCGGTGGTGGAGTGGCTTTATTTTACGTGCAGGGAGACCATCAGCAGTTTAAGCAGAGGGTGGAGGCTTCGGGCTTGTGCTTTGGAGAGATCACTGGGGCTGCCGCGTGGAGAATGGGTCGCACATCGCATCCTCCCAACAGTTGAGCTGTTTCTTGCCTCCTCATTTACTTCCTGTGCTATGGGGATGGGACTGACACAGCTCTGGTTGGTCTGCAGAGCAGAGCCTTGCTGTTGTGTGTTCCAGGCAGGGACATCTGGGTCCAGGCAGGAGTGAGGAACTGGGGGCAGCTGCGGTCAGTTCACTGGACGGGTACCCCCTGGGCACTGGGCTCCAGTGCTGTGTTTTCTGATTTTTTAAGGGAAGCGAGAAATCTAAATATTCATAAGAAATCTAAAAATCAAGTGATGGAACAGCCAGTGTGAGCCAGTCAGAGTAGGGAGGAGCCTGGGTTAGACTGTTTGAGTGACACTAGAGGTCCCTGACGTGAAGGTCAAGTCCTGCAGTGCCACGCCTCCCTCACAGGGGGGGCAGGCCCCACCCAGGGTCCTCACCTCAGAGCCTCCCACTGCCCCTCTGTGGTTGCTTGTTGTCTTGGCCCTCTCTTGAAGTGAGAAATGTGGAGAACAGGGTTTTCAAAAGAGAAAAACTTTACAATGAGTGGCTGAGGTAAAGCTCAGAAGGTAACGAATTCCCAGGAAACTGGGAATCTGTCCTATTTTTTTTTCTTTAACCTATTTGCAGATTTGTAGTTGGCTCTGGACCAAACCCTCCTGGCTGTCAGGGGTCTACTGGTTTTTGCTTGATGTATATCTTTACAGGTGCATGTCTTTTAGCTCATTTAGCATTGTTTTGTGAGCGTGCTTACACCGTTCTTGTGTCTTTGTGCCTTTGGGCCACATCATCTTCCGTTGCTGTCCTCTAATTTCTCAACCATTCCCCTGTTTAAAATCACCTTAGATTGTTTCCTTTTTAATTTTTTTGCTGTTGTAATAATTGTGTAGCTAACATCTTTGAGCAGAAAGATTCTGTGTTCTTTTGACAGATTTCTTTAGTGTAAATTCCCAGGAATGAGAAAAGGATATAATCATTTTATGACTCTTGGCCAAGCACAAGAGATTTCTGCTATTTACTGACTATGCCTTGTCCCTGAGCCTTCCCGGCACCATATTTTAACCTCTTTATTTTAGCTTGTGTCTACTGTTAGTTGAGAGGAGCCCCTGCCTTTCTTCCTGGCTTTCTCTGTGCACATTCCCCTGGAGGTGGTTGGGCCCCTGCCGGCTGCCTCCACCGCCCAGCTCTGCCCGGCCAGGTGGAGGAGCACGTGGGCCGCATCCGGGAGGAGCTGGACCGCGAGCGGGAGGAACGCAACTACTTCCAGCTGGAGCGGGACAAGATCCACACCTTCTGGGAGATCACGCGAAGGCAGCTGGAGGAGAAGAAGGCTGAACTGCGGAACAAGGACCGGGAGATGGAGGAGGCCGAGGAGAGGCACCAGGTGGAGATCAAGGTGAGTGGGGCCATCCTGCTGTCCCCACGGGAGTCCCCACATGGGAGCGGAGGAGCTGGGCCAGGGCGTGTCTCTCCTTGCTTTGGGGGTGACAGCCCTTTGTGTCCTTGACACTGGGAACCCGAAAGTATTTTTTAATGAAAAACATGTATGTGTGCAGGTGAGTGTGTGCAGGTGTGTGTGTGTACACATGAGAAGGTGTGAGCAGGTGTGTGCAGGTGAGTGTGTGTACAGGTGAGCATGTGAGCAGATGAGGTGTATGCAGGTGTGCATGTGGAAACATGAGAAGGTATGAGCAGGCGAGCATGTGTACATGTGGGTGAGCATATGAGCAGATGTGTGCAGGTGAGCAGTGGTGCCCCCACCCCCTGCAGGTCTATAAACAGAAGGTGAAGCACCTGCTGTATGAGCATCAGAACAACCTGACGGAGATGAAGGCTGAGGGCACCGTGGTCATGAAGCTGGCCCAGAAGGAGCACCGCACGCAGGAGGGGGCCCTGCGTAGGGACATGCGGGCGCTGAAGGTGGAGCTGAAAGAGCAGGAACTGGCCAATGAGGTGGTGGTAAAGAACCTGCGGCTGGTAGGTCCCAGGCGGCCGTGAATGCCAATGATTCAGCCACAACCGAGAGTTCATATTTTTGTGTAAAAACGCCCACATTTTGGCAATTAATTGAAATACTAAAACAACAACAGCATGCAACTAAGCAGACTCCATTTGAGGGCCAAATGCAGAATTCTGTCTCAGACCTGAGCAACAAGTTGATTTTCCAAAAAGGAAGTCCAGCCCAAGGTCCCTGCTGTGTGCTGGTGACCCCTGACCCCAGACACACACACACGGGCACTAACGTGGGCTAAGTCTCCAGCCCTCCAGCAGCCACAGCAGGTTGTCATGTGGGCTGTGCTCACAGCAGCACCTCACTGACCTTTGAGGCTCTTTGGTCCTTTCTGAGGGAAGCTGGTGTGGAGGGTGGAATTCATTCTGGAAGGCCTGTAAGTTGCCAGGTCCTCTGATCTCAGGGGACACAGAGGACAGGGCTGATGAAATGCCTGCCCACCTGTGGCTGATGGTCTAAAAAGGAGAGACTGCATGTAAGGCAGATAAATGGTCCAATACATGAAGCGCATCCATGGACAGAAGGGCTACAGGAGGAGCACAGTGTTGGGGGAGGGACCGGGGATGGGGCTGGGTTGCATTTTTCTACAAGGAGTTCTGGGAATTCATTGAGAAGGTGGGCAAACCTGGGGGAAGGTTGGGGCTGAGCCAGGCTGGGGGTCCAGGCCATTGGGAGGGTTGGGGGTGGACCAGTGTGAAGGCCCAGAGGAGTGAGGAACGAGTAAGCTGGGGAGGTAGGACTGGGGCTTTGACCCTGGCTGAGTCAGGTACCTTTGACGGGTTTGGGAAAAAGGAGGCTGTGGCCACCTTTAGTTTTCAAGGTTCTTACTGGCTGTGGGTTGACATTTGCCTCAGGTCTGGAGGCAGCCCAGCCTCAACTGAATCTGGAAAAAAAATGAGTAACATTGCAGACTTCCCAGTGAAGCTCGAAGGTGTTGAAGTCTTGGACCGTCAAGAACTGTCTGGTCTCTTTTGACAGAAGTGCAGAGTGGCTGGCTTCCAGTGAATGTGGTGGTGGGAGGCTGTCTGCTTACCTGAGGCCAGGATGTGGAGTTCTTATGGTCTTGAGTTCCCCTGTGCATGAAATTACTGCTCTCAAATATAAACTTTTTATTCAAAACATATGTGTCTATTAAAATAACTTTTAATGCTGTTTTAAGCCACTGCTAAAGCAGGTTGGCAGACACCTGGATTTGGCCTATGCTCTCCAGCTTGCGGGTAGGTTGGGCTGAGCACGATCGGGGGTCAGCTTGGTCAACGCTGTCTCAAGCTAAGAAAACGAGCTGAGGGAAGTCCATCATGAAATGTGGAATTTTCCAGAACCTTTTTACTCTAGGCTTGGTCCTTGAGCTTGGAGGTGAGGGGACCCCACCAGAAGCAGCACAGGTTTACTGAGCTGGGTTTTCTGTGCCCGTGAGGAGCAGGGCCAGGCCCACAGGCTGGTGTCTGGCCTGTCAGACCTGCAGTCAGTGTTGGCTCCTGCCTTTGCAGAAACACATGGAGGAGATAACCAAGATGAGGAATGACTTTGAGAGGCAAGTGCGGGGTAAGTCTGTGCGTGATGCTGCCATAGCCCTCCTGTCAGAAAGCAGTTGACTGTGAGCGCTTGTGAGCCTAGGGCACGTAACCCCGGTTAGAGCAGCCCAGGCCTGCAGAGAGAGAGAACCTGATACTTCCAGGGCTGACGGGCTGCTCCGATCCCAGAACAGCTTATTTCCATGTGAGTTGGAGGCTGTGATGACCACCCACTTCCCCACCCTGACACAGATCCACAGGAGCAGGTGGCAGTTACTCAGTCTCATGAATGTGCTGCACGCCATGTCTCCTGGCGTCCGGTTTCAGAAGTCTGTCTGGTTTGCTAATAAAGCCCCACAGTCTGGCTGATGGCCGCACAGGCTGTGGTTAGTGCCCACTGGGTCAGCTGACCCTCAGCTGTGGGGAGCCCTGAGGCAGGGACTGATCAGCAGTGCCTCCGAGGCAGAGGAAGGCAGGCTGGTGTGTGTGCTGACGTCAGCTGTGATGTCAGCAGAGAGCCGCGCCGGAGCCGTCCTGTTCCCGGCAGGCTTGTCTGTGCAGCCGCCGTCCTGAGGCTTCTTGGGCCCTGGTCACCGGTTCTGTTCTTGCAGCCACGGGCCACCTGTCCGTCTGCTAAGCTGCCCTGTGTGTGCTGCCTTTCAGAAATTGAGGCCAAGTACGATAAGAAGATGAAGATGCTTCGGGACGAGCTAGACCTGCGCAGGAAGACGGAGGTCCATGAGGCAGAGGAGAGGAAGAACAGCCAGATCAGCGCGCTGATGCAGCGCCACGAGGAGGCCTTCGCGGACGTCAGGAACTACTACAACGACGTCACGCTCAACAACCTGGCGCTCATCAGCTCCCTCAAGGTGCCCTGCCGTCTCAGCTGGCACAGGCACGCCGGCTCTGCAACGTGGCTGCGTCAGGGCGCTGTCTGAGCCGGCGGCGGTTGGGGGTGGGGCCTGAGACGGTGAACATGCAGGTGCGTCCCAGCTCAGACAGGGCCAGTGGTGGTGGCGTCACCCTGGTGCCAGCACTGATGGAGAATGCCCCTGGGGGTCACCTCTCAGTGTGCGTGGAGGCTGCATTATTAGAAAGTTCAGAATAAGTAAAACTGAAAAAAATACTCTGTGTTTACACATAAAATGGATCTAGGTCCTCAGTTGGCCGGCAGGACCCTCAGGCCACAGCCCCCTGGTCCTGCCTGATGACCCCCCCACCCCATTCTTGGCCGATAGGAGCAGATGGAGGATATGCGGAAGAAGGAGGAGCATCTGGAGAAGGAGATGATGGAGGTGTCCGCGCAGAACCGGCGCCTGGCGGACCCTCTGCAGAAGGCTCGGGACGAGATGGCCGACATGCGGAAGAGGCTCGGCAGCTACGAGAGGGACAAGCAGATCCTGGTGGTGGGTCCTGCCCAGTCCGTCGCCTCCTCGGCCTCCTCCTGGGCTCAGAAGGGCTGGCACTTGGGGGTGGCGGGTGCTGAGCTCCTGTCTGTGCTGGCGTCCTTCTGGGGGCACGTGAAGTTGGCCCCTATCCCGGGAGACGGGTGGTCCTGCCGCCCACTGGGATGGGGCTAAGCCACCGGTGGCTTTGGGCCAGTTCTCTCTGACAGTGATCTTGGCCTGGCATCGCTGGGGCCTGCACCACGTGGGTGTCTGAATCATGAGCACCTTCTGATCCCACCCCTGTGTCGTCTCCAGTGCACGAAAGCACGTCTGAAAGTCACTGAGAAGGAGCTGAAGAGCCTGCAGTGGGAGCACGAGGTGCTGGAGCAGCGTTTCATCAAGGTGGGTGGATGCTGGGTGGGACCCCGCCGGAGCAGGGGGTCCTGCTGCCCTGCCTCCTGCAGCTGCTCCCAGGACGGCCTGCTGTGGTGCTGGGCTCCTGGGCACGTTGTCTCCCAGAGAGCAGTTCCCTGGTGGGAGACGGGGGGTACCCGCTTCTGTCCCCTCGGGCTCACTTCTGAAACACACAGAGGGCCTGGCTCCTCGAAGGAAGAAGTTTTTTCATCCCTGTGTATGTTTCTAAGACTATATTTTTATGTGTGCATTGTAAGGCATTGTGTGGGCTGTGCGGGGCTGGTCCTCACAAATGGTAGCAGCTTCCTAGGTCTCCTTCCAGACTTCTCGTGTGTCCTGGCACTGGAACGACTCTGAGCTTTACAGATGTGGGGTCGTGCCTTCCACACACAGTTTCACACCCCCGTGTGTGTGCCTTTCACCAAGGGGTACCTGTAGAGTGGCCTGTGCTGTTACAAGCATCCTTTTAAGTTCATCTTTGTGCACCTGTGAGTCTTTTCCTTGAAGTGGGATTGCTGGGCCATAAGGTTAGCGTTCAGAATGTGGGTAGTGTGCTCAGAGGGCTGTTCAGAGTTGTAATCCCACCCAAAGTGCCCAAGGGACCCCTCCCTGCCCACGCTAGGTCTCTGCTGACGTGACTGAGGGGGGAAATGTCTCACTGAATGTGCTCTTCTGAGGTTTCTGTGAGCTGCAGGGATGCCCCTCCTTGCTGGTCACGGTGGGTATGAGTGGGAAGAGAGGGTCAGGGCAGGCAGAGGCCTGTGCTGGGGCCCGTGCTGTCTGCCACCCCCTCTTCCATTTGCATGTGGTATGTGAGAAAGTCAGCCTCTCCTCAGGAAACCAGGAACATGGCCACATTGTAAAGACCAAAGGGGTGGGGAGAGGATTGAAGCAAATGTTGAGAATTCGACACAGTAGTCAGAAGGGTTTCAGCTCAGCCCTCTTCCCATCCTAGTGGTGATAACGTGTTTTTACAGGTATGGAGAACATTCCGGAAGGAGTCACACCAAATGCTCACATGGCAGTCTCTGGGAAGTGGGGTTAAGGGGTGTTCACTCTTTACTTTTCTCACTCCTACGAAGTCTTGATTTTTTATGGTGCATAGTTAAAAGTCAGGAGATGAAAAGGACCCTTTCTTTGATGGACAGGCAGTTGGCTCCAGGTCTTTGTTTGTTTGTTTGTTTGTTTGTTTAGGAAGTACTGGGGATTCAACTTGGGACCTCATACATGCTAAGCGTGCACTCTACCACTTGAGCTATGCCCTCCCCCTCCAGGGCTCTAGACGTGGGTTCCAGGATCTGGGTCAGCAGAGGGAGGGGGGTCCCCCAGACACAGGGCAGGGCTGGCCCCAGCCCCTCTGTGGGCATCTGTAGCTGGTACCAGGGTCTCTGTTGCTTCCTGAGACAACTTCCTAGAGATGTTTCCTTCTGCCTCCCACGGTGTGGACAGCTGCACGCCTTTAATTCTGTCACCGAGAGTGGGGCTCAGCCAGTGCGGACTATCAGACCCACCTGCCTGAGGCTGGGCAGGGGAAAGTGGTGTTTTGTGCCCAGGGAGAGAGGTGGGAGGGGGCTTGCTGGAGAGGCGCCCACACAGCCCGTCCTGCAGGTGCAGCAGGAGCGGGATGAGCTGTACCGCAAGTTCACTGCGGCCATCCTGGAGGTGCAACAGAAGGTGGGCTTCAAGAACCTCGTCTTGGAGCGCAAGGTGCAGGCTCTGAACACCGCCGTGGAGAAGAAGGAGGTGCAGCTCAACGAGGTGCTGGCGGCCTCCAACCTGGATCCCGCGGCCCTGACCCTTGTGTCCCGCCAGCTGGAGGTAGGAGGCTCCTGGCCAGCGCCCCGTGCCCCTGCCCCCAGCGGCCGGCCTGGGCTCTGGTCGGGGCTCCTTGTCTGTGGTCCAGCCTCTGTCATTCCAGTGGAGACCCACAGCCACCTTGGTTTCCTGTGGCCCAAGCTCCCAAGCCTGTGTGCACCGTCAGCTCCCCGGGCTCATCTGTTTTGCTCTGGTCTCTCTGAGGTCTTCCCCGGCCCCTCCTTAACCTCCTGGCCCTTCTAGCCCGAGTCCACTGCCTGTTTCAGCTTAGTCGGTCAGGCCCTTAGTCTCTCAAGCCTCTGTCCTGAGCTCCTTGGACCCCTGGCAACGGACCCAGACATAGGCCTGGGGGTGGCCAAGTCTCCTGAGCTCTCAGCCGAGGCCACATCTGTGTGAGACCTGAGATGTGCTGGTTTCAGCCGCGGGTGGGAGAACACAGGGCCATGGGTGCATCTTTGCAGTGGGTGCTGGGAAGGCTTCCCAGAGGGAGTTACATGTGAGTGGAGGCTGAAGCATTGTTCACCCAGGAGTCCAGGGTTCACTGTGGCACTCCTCTGTGCTGGGACGGTCCTGGGCACAGAGACAGCAGTAAATAGGACAGACGAGGCCCTGGTGCCCATGAGCCAGCTGGGCCAGCCGAGGAGTCAGGGCAGCAGTTGCTGCTGCCTTTGACTTGGCAGGCCCAGAGCTGGGCCTTCTCTGCTTGCTGACCTGGGAGGGGGTGTCATAGAAAGGACAGGTGACGCCAGCTAGGTGACCTGTAGCCTCAGGGACAGCTCCTCTGGGGTCTGGGAGGCAGACACAGACCATAGCTGGCCTGCATGTCTCCACTGAGGCGCAGTGAGGGCAGGCTGGCTTGTCTCGGAGACAAATCCTTCCAGATGGAGGCCCCTGTCTTTGTCTGTTCTGCCATCACAGAGAAACAGAACTTCTGGTTCAGAGATGGCAGACAGAAACTGGAGGGCAGGCAGGGTGTGGGCAGGGTGGAGGGCTTGTTGCAGATGGAGGGGGCTGGGGTCGAGGTTATGTGCCCACGCTTCTGGCTGAGACCAGGTGTTTGCTCACGGTGAGAGTGGTGGGTCCTGGCTCAGTGCGTAGCAGTGCCTGTGGGACCCAGGTTATCTGGGACAGGCTCTCGGGGCTGGGGCCCTGCAACCAGGTAGGGGCTTGTCTGTGCCAGCAGCACCACGGTCCTGGGTCAGGGGGCTCCATTCCATCCTTTTCCCAGTTCGTGTATGAATCACAAAGAGGAGGAAGGCTTTCTTCCTCTCCTCTTGGGAGGGGCAGCTGGTCTTAGAGCTGGACGAGGCCCTGTGCTGCCAGTGACTGACGGAGGGGTGAAAACCAGTTCCGTCCACCGCAGTCGCCGCAGCTGTGTGTGTGTGGGCTAGGGCACGGCAGGTAGGGGCTGGAGGGGCTTCCCTGGGACGAGATTGACAGCACGGGCAGCCCCAGAAGCAGGTCAGGCTGCCTGTTCTCACCATCGGGGCAATTTTTTCACGGGAGGCAGACCCCACTTCCATGGGAGACCTTTCCTCTCCAGCCACTCCCCGTGTGGACGAACACACGGACGGAGCTAGGCCGTGATACCCTGTCCTCCTTTCTCTCCTCAGGATGTTCTGGAATCAAAGAACAGCACGATCAAGGACTTGCAGTATGAGCTGGCCCGGGTCTGCAAGGTGCGAGGGGCCCCCCTCCTACCCCCCAGGGACCCTCCCTCACCCAGGACAGTCCCTGGTCTTTACCTTTGGGAACCAACACAGCCTGAGACCATCTGTACCAGCCCAGGGACACCTGGGCTGGCTGTGGCTGGAGCACATCCCCACAAGTGGCACATCTGGCCACTTGTCCTGGCGTCCTTGAGGGCCTGCCCAGTGCACATCTGGTGTCTTGTCCAGCAGTCTCTATCCCTGCCTCCCTGTCAGACTCTTGCTCTGGCACCACGGTGCTGGTCTGGTCCCTGGGGCAAAGTAGGGGCTCTTCTGTGCTCCCCCAGGTTAATGTCAACATCCTCCAAGCAGGGGAGTTAGGGCTCTGACCTTTGCTGACTCCTCTGTAAGTCTAGTGAAAGCCACACACGAAGACCTCCTGCAGTTGGGGAGGGCAGCGCCTTGACCCTGCTGCTGTCTCTGCCACGCACCCAGGAGGCCTGAGCCAGCACCAGGGTCCTCAGCTTAGCTGAGCCCACGGCTCTGTCAGGGCTTCGCCTGTGGGGTTGCAGACACAGTGCTGCCTGCAGACGCGTTTCCCAAGAGCAGGCACCCCCACAAGAACGACTGACGTATGAGCCCAGGGCCTCAGGATGAAGGTAGCATCCATCATGGGTGCTGCGCTCCCTGGTGACCACCAAGTCCCCTGGGCCTTCACTGCCTATCAAGACCTCCCGCAGGTGCTCTGGACACCCCTGATACCTACATGCACAACATCAGGGCCATGTACTGGTGTGTGCAGTGCTTGGGGGAATGTCAATAACCTGCATCTGACCTGCCAGGAGATCTGAACCCCAGAGACGGGTGAGGGCCAAGATCCAGCCCCCAGGTTCTTCCTGGAGCCCGACCTTGCTCACCCTTGACTCTTGGCTCCAAGCGTGGCACCTCGTCTTGATGGTGGTGAGGGTGACGAGCCCCTTTGAGCTTTCGCTCTGAGTCAGGCTGGGCTCTAAGCGTTTAATGTGCATCACCTCTTCAAACCCTTACAACCACCTGATGGAACTTACCCTTTTAAAAACATTTGTTTTCCAGGGGAGGGATCAGAAACCCTGCCTGCACTGTTGCCCAGATCTCCGAGCTTGTGGGACGGGAGCAGGGAAGGCCGTCCCCGGGAAGTCAGCGTTGCTGAGCCTGAGGGAGGGATGCCCACAGGGAACCACCGTCCATAATTATCCCCCTTGTGCACTGGGTTTCCTCAAAAGCCCTAAGTGCATGTTTGCAGCCACTAACCACCAAGCAAATGATCTCCTTAAGACTGGAATGTTGGAACAGTAACGTGAGGAATGACAGACTGAACAAATGTGACCTGAAGTCTTGACCTGTGAATCTCAGAGATTCCAAAACAAACCAAAAACCAGGATCAGCAAAAGCTGTGAGAATGCAGGCAGAGCTGAGTGGCACTGACGTCTTAAATGCTGATCACATCTCTCAGGCTGAGTCTGACCAAAAGGGGGGAATTGTTAAAAGAAACAGCAGGCCCCAAATGCAGTCACTTATGCTAACCCCACCAAGCTTCACACCTGACATATCTGCAGTCTCAGCCTCTCCAGGAGTGGAAATTTAAACCCAGCAGCCTGGAACTTTCTGGTCAGCACTAGGGAAGTCAACTGTCTAAGACCTTCTGCCTCCCCTAAGGGAAGGTGCCTTTGCCTCAAATTACCTACCCTTTTCACGTCCTTGTCCTATCCTCCGGGTGCCTATAAAAACCTCCATTGTGTAGTCCTTGGGGTGCCCTTCCATTCACTAGATGGGATGATGGGGCTCATGAATTGCTGAATTTTAAAGCCGGTTAGATCTTCAGACTTAAATGAACTTGTGTGGTGTGGGTCCGGTGCGGTAAGCAGCTGGCAGGGGTCAGCTGGCGGACGCACCACACTCCCACCCCTCCGTGAGGCTGGGGAGAGCCTGGGCGAGGACCTGCCTTGTGCTGCTCGCCCCTGACGCTGCCCTGTCCCCACAGGCCCACAACGACTTGCTGCGCACCTATGAGGCAAAGCTCCTGGCTTTTGGGGTCCCCCTGGACAACGTGGGCTTCAAGCCCCTGGAGACGGCTGTGATGGGGCAGATGCTGGGCCAGGGCCCTGCAGGACTTGTGGGCACCCCAACATAGCGCCTGCCCGGGGCCGCTCCCTGGATGACCCCATTAAGCATCAAGGACAGCAGGTATCTGTAGGTGTGTGTCGTCGGCGAATGAAGGTTTTCACACGTGCTGTGTCCTGTCCCATGGCTGTGTAGAGGGGCACCTCCAGGACCCTCAGCGCCCCGTCTGCTTCCGTCCCCAGTGACCATCCAGTCTGTGTGCCCATCCACCCCTCCCCCCGGGCCGAACTCTGCCATGTGACTGCAGCCGCCAACACTGACTTTATCGAAGCCCGAGTCACAGCTGCCACCGGGAGACGGGGCCAGAACACCCCAGGAGTGAGAGCCCGGAGCTCACTGTGCTGGTTGGGAGCGGCTCAGCCTGCCACGGTGACGGGGTCTGCACTCGTAGGCCAGCTGGTGGTCAGTGGTGCGACAGTGGCTCAGCCACTAGCTCCCTCGGTATGTGGTGTAAGACCATGGGCTCAGCAGCAGGGGCACGTGGAACTTGTGGGTCTCGTTTGTGATGGTGAAAACGACCTGAGAACAGAGGAGGCACTGGGAGGGGGCCGGGGCAGGGCAGCAAGTAGTGCACCAGCACCTGGCCCTGGGGCTGCCTGGGAAGGGGGCAGGAGCCCCAGGGCCAGTGGGAGGGCTGTGGGTGGGGCCCGATCCTCCCCAGAGGAAGCACTTGACCGGAAGGGACCACGGGCCTGTAGGTCCCCAGAGTCCACCCTGAACAGGTCAGGTGAAGGGGGACAGTGAGCAGAATGGGGCGCGGTGTCCACAGAGGCTGAGTCACCCTCTGCCCTGCCCCCCCACAGCCTGACCCTGGGGCGGGGCAGGGCAGGGACAGGTGTGTTGTGGTCAAGTCCCTGCGTGCCTTTCTTCTGGGAGCTCAGAGCAGGTGAGGTGGAAGAGTCAGACCAGTCTGCGGGTCTCAGTGGTTCATGGGCCTCCACCTGTCTGGCCCTCACCTCCACGTAGGGGTAGAAGCTCTCCTGGCCCCTCTCCTTCCAGTAGCCCTCCGTGTCGAAGGACAGCTTGTAGGTGCCCGTCTTCACCTGGCTTGGCGGCAGGAGCCCGGGACAGCGGCCGTCGGGGTTGGTGTAGCTGGGGAGGACAGGGGAGGGTGCTGCAGACTGGGGCGAGGAGCCCCCGTGCCTGGGCCTCCTCGGTCTGTGCGCCCAGTGCTCTCAGATGTCCCTGTGGCCTGACTTAGACTTTGGTGAGCAGGGCCTGGATGGCTCCACAGCAGGACAGGTTCTGGAGCAGCCCAGGGACACCACTGCATTGTGTTTTCAGGAAATCAGAGAGAAGCAGAAAGTGGAAAAAAAAATCTCCCATAGTCTACCCCGTGAGCAATAATCACTTTATATTTGGCATATATATTTTTCAGATTTCTGTCTATGCCTAAGTATGCTTATTTACAAACAAGAAAAGTGGATTATACTACTCATGCTGTCTTATAACCTGCACTTTTCATTTATTACGCATGGCTTTCTGGGTCAGTAACTGCCCACACTGCATCTGCACTGTAGTCTGTGTCCAGCTGCACCAGTGGAGGGTTCTCAGGGCCTCTGCCCACTGATGAACTCCCAGTCACCTCTAGCCATGCTCTCCAGTGTCTGTGCGGTGGTTAGAAAGGGCAGCACTTACCTGCATAGTGTAGGGGGAGCTGAGAGTGGGTCTCTATGATCCCCTGGGCTCCATGAGTTTCTCCCAAGGCCAGAGCTGACCACTCAGATAGGATCTGGACCCATCTGAAGGGCTTCATGCCCTCAGGCCCTGACCCTTTGGGGTCCAGCCTCCCACCCCCCACCAACAGAGGGAGTGGCCTCCTTCAAGACCGAGGGTCAGGGCAACCTGCTCACAGGGCCAACCCTGGACGCCAGCCAGCCTGGGCTGGACCTCCCCCAGCAGAGCCTGAGCCTGAGCCTAAGCCTGGGGCAAGGGCCCAGCGCTGCCCAGGGACTCCTCTTGCTGCCTGTTTCCAGTCCATAGGAGGAGTGACCATGGTGTTTGTGCACAGAGAGAAGAGCATACAGTGCCCTGTGTTGCCCGGGACATGTTACCTGTCAATCATGGTGACAAGGGGCCTTTCAGATTCCACCTCAGGCCTCAACAGCGCAGCCTGTAGGGAGAGCAGATCCCGTTCCCCACCCTAGCAGGCCCTCGGGTGTGAGCCCCGACCAGGGCTACACAGGCTGGCTGTGGTCAGCCCTGCCACCTGCCCTCAGTGCCTGCACCCCTTCACCTGGCCCTGCGCTGGGGGCAGATAGCCTGGACTTGAGTCCTACCCCAGACTTCCCTCGTACCTTTTCCTCAGCTCAGTCCACTGCTGGCCATGATCCTCAAGCCTGGACAGACGGAGGCAGAGGCCCTGGGCCGGGAGCCCTGAGACAGTATCCAGCACATGTGTAGTCAGTGGGCTGCTGACTGACTCCATGCCTCTGCCCTGGGCCGTGAGAGGGACAGGAATGAGCGTCGGGAGCCAGCCTTGTGTCCACACCAGCTGGCAAGAGGCAGCAGCCTTAGAGTAAACAGCTCCCGGGGTACAAAGTCCCAACCCCCCTGGGCCCTGGGGGATGGGGGTGGGGTGTGGGGTGAGATTGCCAAGCCAGCCCCATGAGGCTGCATGTTAACACACTGAAATAGAGAACACTGACCTGGGCCCCTTTCCCACCAGCCTCTCTCCACCCAGCCATTGAAGGGGCTCCACATCCAGAGGCTCCCCCAGACCCTCCTTCCAGCCAGTAAGTGGCAGCTGTGGGTGGCCAGACTGGGTTGTCTCAGAACCCAGCTGTGTCTGCTGGCTCATGGATCACCTCCAACCTCGGCCCCACGCAGGGGAGAGGTCAGGAGTTCTGAGTCTTGGGGTTCCCCCTACCTCCGGGGAGCCCAGGTGTCCCTGGAGTGTCCGGAGCCGCGGGGCAGCCCTGGAGCTCATGCCAGGCAGGTTTGGGGACTGGGCGAGTTGGCTAGAAGTCACGTCACCCCTGCCACCCCCAGAGTGGGAGGTGGACCCGAGAAGCAGGCACCTCCCCGGGCCGGTCCCTGCCCTGCCCTGCCCGTGGCACCTCCCGGGCCCCAGAGGACACGTGTCTGACCAAACCCTGGGCAGAGCTAAAGGGAGGGGGAGGCCCGTCCAGATCGCGGGGGCGGCCTCACCTCGGTGCCCCCCTCCCCCAGGGACCCGTGGGCTTGGCTCGCGAGTAGAGGGTGTGGGCGAGCGGGGCCCACAGACCTACCGGGGGCGCGGAGGGCCCCTCCCAGGCCAGAAGTGGAGTGGCCCAGCAGGAACTTGGGGGTGGGGCGCGGGGCGGGGCTGCCTCCCCCGCCCCGCAGGAACCGGACAGAGAGTGGCTCAGAGGTTTGGGGGCGGGGCGGGGAGGCCCGGCCCACGTCCCTGCCGGTCCCTGAACTTGCCTAGATTTTTTTTCTCCTGGGATTTGTTGGGATTTCATGGGAGCCCCGATAGGCCACGCCATGGTGCCTCCGGCCGTAAAGGCCCCAGAGCTGACACCCTGTGGTTGCACCACCTGCCCCTCTTACCCTTCTGGCCCTCGACCCCCGAGGAGTAGGGGCCTCTGCACACTGACAGGAGGGTCTGGTATGCGCAGACATGAGAGGAGCAAGAGGCAAGGCTGAATAAACAGGAGTGAATCCATCATCAGGTTGGCATATTATATGAGGTTCACACGGAACAGATTTTATGTGATACATACACAAAAATAAGGGTATTCTGTATTTAAAATCTGAATGATGTTGACTGACTGGTTGTGTTGTTCTGGATAGAGGGACGTTTTTCTTCTTGCCAAAGTGCATTTTCTAATTACTGGGTAGGTAGCATGGACTAGTTGTATGTTAAGAGTCAGGCACCTCTGGGGCCTGGGAGGAAGTCCCTGTTTCAGCTGCTTTGGAGGTAATCAGGAAATGCCTATTTGAGATTTAAATGCACATGACCTAGACAGGGCTTATGGTTATAGGAGGTAACTCCAAAGAGGTGCGTACCTTTGGCAAACACCTTTGGGAACAAGAGATCAGAAACAAGCAGACTGTCCCCACTGGGGGCAATTAAATAAATGAACTTGGCCGTAAACCAGCAGCTCTGCAGCCCATTAAAAAGAATGAGGCCCATTTGTGTGTAAGGTGGACAGTCCCCTGGAGTAGTGGCTAGTGACAAGGCAGAGGGGAGGTATCATGCTGTAAATCTGGGTATGGCTTTCACTCCAGAGATTAGCTCACTTCATCCTCATAACAACCTCATGACGTGGTAGTATCATCCCCATTTTACAGAGGAGAAAACTGAGGCACAGAGAGACCTCATATTGGAATGCTTTCTAGTATGGTGTACTAAAGACTGATACCAGGACCACCCCTGGGACAAGTGGTGTGGACAACGGGTAATTATATTCTCTCTGTAACCTTCCTTTGTACTCTTAGAATTTTTTTTAAGGTCTCAAATGTCATAAGTAAGCTGACAAAAACAATAACCAAATCCTTTTTTGGGGGTGCCCTTTAATCCCCTCCTTTTAGAGCCCGGCTGCCCCCTCTGCCCCAAGAGAGGACCCAGGATGGGGAGAGGGCAGGTCAGGGTGTTGTCATAAGTCCTCATGGGGCCTCGCCAGGGCTCACTCTGCCAGCCTGCAGGCTTCCCCTGGTAACTTCTCTGCCTCTGGGAGAACAGTGGGCTGATTAAGAGCCAGAGTTGGGGTCCGGCCTAATAGGGCCAGTGCCACCCATGCCATTCTCACCGTATGTCTGCCTGGTGGGCCTCTGGTAGAGAGGATGGGCACAGGTCTTGCCCCCTCCCTCCCACTCACCCACTCACTCACTCCTTTCTGACTAATGAGTGTGATGCTGGAGGTGCAGCAGCCACCCTGCCACCAGAAGGACACAACAGACTGCCAAGGAGAGAAGCTGCTGGGCCTGCCTGGCAGGTGAGTGGGGCCTTTTGTGTCTGGATTGTTTCACACCCTCTTGTTGATGTTCCAGGCTTGTAGCCCAAAGCACTTCTGCCTCAGGGAGTTGAGATCACGCTGGCAGAATGTGTGACCACACCCAAATGCTCAGTGACCTGGAACTGGTCAGCCCTGAGTGATGAAGACTCACCTTCTCCTATTCCTGGTGAGAAGGCAGCTGGGTAGGCTGCTGTCTGGGTAAGCGATGATGCTGGGAGGTCCCTGCCTTGCCCTGAGCCCTGCCTGCTGGGGTCCCCTGAGGCACTGCAGCTGGGCTCTTGACAGTGTCGCAAAAAAATGTGTTACGCTCAGTTGTGACAGCAACCTGGATCCAGGCAAGAGACCAAGCAGCAGAGAGTTGGAGAACTCAGGTTTATTACTCCAGCGGGCCCAGAGAAGTTAACACTTCAAGCTCTGGACCCTGTCTGTAGGTTTACACCAGCTTTTATAGGCTACCAGTTTACACTTTGCAACATCATATGGAAATGAGGTATAAGGAAAGTTGTCTAATTAGGAACAAGCTTTGTAGAAATGGACCAATCAGAAGTGAGAGAGATAACCAATCAGGAGTGAGAGAAATGGGCCACTCAGGAGAGAAATAACCAATTAGGAATGAGCTCCATGCAAATGAAGTATTACAAATGGACCAATCAGAAGTTAGGGAAATGGACCAATCAGGAGTGAGCTCAGGGAACCAATAGAATTTTAGGGGTAATAAGCCATTTCAGAGGCAAAAAGTGAGATAGAGAGCCCCTGGGTCAGGGAATCAGATGGTGCTGGCAGGAGAGTAGTGGCCCAGCCTGGGGTGTCCTGCTGGTCTTTCTATGGGGCTTCCCACCTCATCCCCCCCTTTTGGTGCTCTCTTTAACATCTGTAGAGCATCAGTGTTAGAGTGGTGCCCCTTATTCATCATTGGGTTCTTCCTGGTCCAGGGGCCTGTACTGAGTGACTAGTAGCTGTAGTCTCAGTGACGCTATTTGTGAGCTAATTAAATGGGTAATGAGGTTAAGGATGCAGGGACCAAACAGCAGTGCTAGAAGGATCATAAGGAGGGGGCCTGCTAGAGGGAGGAGCCAGGAGGCCCAACTCCAGACGTTACTCCATTGTGCCCAGGAATTAGCTAATTCATGGTTTCTCTGTTCAGCTTGATCTCCTAGTTGTTGGACCATAGTTCTGATGATTCCTGATTGATTTACATATAAACAGCATTCCTCATTTAGGAAGAGACAGAGTCCCCCCTTTTTGGCGGTGAGTAGTTCTAAACCCCTCCTGTTCTGTAGGACTACTGCTGCTAGGGAGGTCCACCTGGTTTTGTAGAGTCATCCAGAACTCAGCCACTTGTTTTAAACCTTCAGTGACCTCAGCAGATAACTGCTGGTAATAGTGGGATGATGAAGTTATTCCTCCTATTCCTGTGCCCACTCCAGTTGCTATTTCCAGCCCAACGAGTAGTGGTATTAACTGGATGGCCCTTTTAGATCGAGCATGTGCCATCAGGGGTACAGGAAGGCTCTGGTTATCAGGTGTTATGTCCATCTGAGGGGTAAGAAAGGCCAATGTGCAATTACCCGTCCAACTGGCTTGCAGGCACCGGCAGGTGTGTGCCCCGCATACAAATAAAGGTTCCTGGGCTTGGTGTGCACCAGGGTTTGGCAGGCTTACAACCAGAAACAGATGTGTAATTACGGGTTTGTTCACATTGGGCAGTGGCCAGAGAATGTTTTGTCCCCGAGTTGTAGATGCAGGCGGGAGCTGTATGGGCCAACTGTACATTAACTGACTGGGGGCTTACATCTGCGGAGTCTGGGGACCACCCAGGACGGCCATTGAACTTGGTTAGATCTGAGCGACCTATCGGGCTTGCTGCATGCTGGAGGGGGCCGGGACGCAGGCAGAGCCAGCAATCACTTGCTAGCTGTGGGTTAGTAGCATTAAGAAGGTGATGGACTTGCTTAATAAGGGACTTAATTGGGGGTCCTGTTTATAAGGCATGGACCTAGGTCTATTTTTCTTTTCCCAACCTTTGCTAGGTCTATAGAAGGGCCCTGAGCATGTGGGCCGGGGATTTTTTTCTGGGGAGAAGGTCCCTGCCAAATGCAATTTGGTGAATGGGTCCCAGTGGAACCCCTGTCATTGGAAGATATGTCAGCAACTACTTTTATAAGCAGAAGGAGGCTTTGGGGTTTCATTTTTTTTCTAACAGGGGGGTATGGTTCCTCCAGCAGACACTGACTGACCATTAGGCTTCCTAATGTAGAGAGAGTACTGCTGCTATTAGTTTCTGGCCCATGTTCCAATCCTGGGGTGCAGTGGCTATCAGTCCTACAGCTAGCGATATAGTAACACTACTCATTAATAAAACAAAGTAATGGCAACAGTTCATTTTATGTCTTGATCGGTGGTTCCTCAGGCTTCCGCTGTGCGTTGATTAGCCAGCTTCCAGGTGTGGCTAGAGCAAGGCTTGGTGCTCTCTGGCAGGTGAGGCGGGCGTCTCTGGCCCCAATTTCAAGTGGCTCCTCGAGGTCCTGGTCGATTCTCCAGACGTCCTCGTCTCTCGGTGGTGCTTCTCTCTCTACTCTGGTGTGATGAATCCACGGGGCGATACCTGCAACTGTAAGAGCTGTTGGGATGGTTAGTATAACTGGGCAGGGGCCCCTTCAAGTAGGTTCAAGGGGCTCCTTTTCCCAATCTTTTACCCAAACTTGATCTCCTGGCTCATATGGGTGTAACATTGTTCCCAGTGAGATTGGGATCCTGTCAGTTACCCACCTATGGACTTTCCGCATAGTTTTTTTCGAGACCTTGCATTTGCTTGTGAAGTTCTAAGCGTCCCACCTCTCTAACTTTTTCTCCTAGTAACATCAGGGGAGGGGGGTTCCCATATAAGATTTCAAAAGGGGAGAATCCCGTCTTGGACCGAGGGGCATAGAGTACTCACTGGAGAGCCATGGGCAGAGTGTCAGCCCAAGATAGTTGAGTTTCTCCCCCGAGCTTTACCGTCTCCTTTTCTAGGGTCTGGCCCATGCGCTGTATCCTCCCTGAATGCCGG